AGATACAAAGCAACAGAGAGTCGACACTCACCATGGGAATTAGTCTTATTTATAGTCACTCGATAGAGGGAAGGGGAAAAAGACCCCCAGACTTCAGAGCAATGGACAGAACTGAAGACACACACCATTCTGTAACACCAAGCAAGAGAAAGAAAAGTGTTTCTGGCTCCCACTTCTCAAAGTAGGGCCATGTGAAAATTAGCCTGAAAACTCTTTAAAAGTCTGATTTATGCCATCTCCATGTTGATCTGAATGAAGATCCCCATGAGACAAGATGTTGAGGCCACTGATCTCTACCTGCTGCCCCTCCACACCACCTGAGGATGATCACTGCAATAATCTGCACAAGAGAATCTTTCAGCTCCTAAATGATGCCAAAACATTCATCATTTGGGCAATATTTATGCATTTCTGTTAGGACAACTTTCAGCTGAAGATAGGTAGCAGCAAAAGCTAAAGTCGAATCATTTATCCTCAATTCTGCAGTTACACTTTCAAGTGGAGATTATCCAGCACCACCACTTGGCAACTGAAACACGGTCTTCCAACTTTATCTCTCCTTTATGTGCCTTTGTCCCGCTGTTCATCTATCACTCACAACATGTCAAATAACACAACTAATCTCTGTGCTTCCCAGAACAGTTTATCTGAAAGACACTCAACACAGTTTCTTAGGTATAAGGATCTCAGCACACCACCTAAAGCACATTGTTTAGCTTAACCAATTGAGGACACCAGTAAGAACTAAAATACAGTGTTTCCAGGTGTTTCATAGAAATAAAGAACCTTTACTGTAATGAAGATTATTGAATTTCCTGTCTCATGTTGCTATTTTGAAGACACTTGGCATCATTGAAGGTAACTGCCACTAGTAAATTATTTGACCTTCATTAACCTAGTAAAAGGTAAACTTCGTTGCTGTGAAAGCTACCAGGTATTTAAAAGAAGACAGCTTTCTGTGTTGTCAATATTTTGTTGCAAAATAAACCACCTACATGGGTCAAGTCTGTGCTAATTGCATTGTCTCCATGTGAAATAAGTGCTTCCTAATGGGATTTGGGAAGAGGAATGACACAGCCAATTTTCAGAGCAAGAGCCAGGCAAAACTTCTTGTTTCCCTTCTCTTCTAACACTGGGTCAAAGCACCAAAGACCATAAACAGGCGTGACTCACTTCTGCACCCTGTGATCTACTTTAATGGTTTAAGGTTCGTGCCAGTATCAGCAACTGAAACTAAAACATTCAGGATGACCTTTCAAAAAATGTCTTTCGTCAGTAACAAATCAGATGACTAGTACTATCAGAGCATTCAGCATTCCCAAAAAGAGAAATATTTCAGACCAAGTTTTCTATTAATTTGTTTTGTACTTTCTTCTTAATCACCTTGCAATGGTATGCTTTACAAGCTGCTGCCTCAAAAAGTAATTTCATGTTGTTTGTAAAGAAGAAAAAAAACTGAAGGTCAAACTAATTTAATGTCTGTCCAATGGTTAGGAAAAGTAAGTATGTCTTGTCCCAGAGGAGAATAACATGATGCAAACCCTAGATTTCTCAGCAGACCTGTTTCCTTTAACACTAACAAAGACCGTAAGTCTCACTATACAAAAGCAGGAACACCTGCAGCCTCAGAAAGGCAACTTCCTCCACATAAACCCAGAAGATATTGAGATTACAAATGGGAGTGAGATCCACTGAAGTCAGATAATCATTAAAGGTGAAACATATAAGCAAACAGGTCATAAATCTATCAATTCAAGCAAAAAACCTTAAATGCATTAAAAAAGTTATTACTTCTCACTTCATTAGGCTGTCAATGTGATTAACATCAGCACTGAAAATACTGTTTTTTCTGTACTTCTGATAGAAGGAAAAACTCACATATCCATACAGGGTGTATTAGGCTCACAGCATAACTGTAACTGAAGGATACATTAGCTGAGTCCTTTCTCTTAGAGAACAGTAAGGAGGGTTCCGTAAGCCAGATCTGCTAATATCTGGATGGCTACAAGCAATTACCCATCACAGAATCAGGCCAGAAAACTACTGGTTACAAAATGGAAAGATCTCATTTTAGAGTTCAGCTTCAATACCAAACTCTGCTACTCTGTCCCACATACACACAAACTAATGCGCATTTGTGGGAGCAATCACTTCTCCCTTCTGTGTGTTTTTCCTTACTGTTAAACCAAATGTGTCAAGAACTTCCGTGTGAGATCACAGAGGTACTTCTGTGAGAGAAAACTGCAGCAGCATCATGAAACAACTCACTAACTGGAGTACTCAGATTTACTGCTGAATTTATTTACCTGTATATTATAAATAATTGCACTTGAGTCGCAGTCCATTCCTATACAGAGTCACGATTATCAGTGGACCAGATAGCGACACCTCAAACTCTTTACAGATTATACAGGTAGCCAGTGTCTACAGAATTTTGGAAACTAGCACAAGAAAGGCAGAAATAATCCAGAAATTATTACCAATGTGAATAGAAGTCTTACGATTATTATTTAAATAAAGGAACTAGTATGCTGAAGTACAACACGTCTCTTTTTAGACATTATCCCAAACATCAACCAGATCCCTAAATAATTTCTGAGAAGAAACATGTTCTAATGGTAGATTCCTAATCCTCCTGGAGAAAGCCCAGATCATCTCCATTTAAGGTCAAGCAGGCAGCAGCTGCACATTTTTGTTCCCCAGAAGAAAATGCAGCAGACCAAAACCTCCAACACAGATTCCTTTTTTTAAAGCTTTTCCTTTCTGATATCCACGGGTGTCTGGACCTGTTCACCTAGGAGTGAATGGAAACAGTACAATGATGTGCTCATATATCGTGTCTGTACTTGTCAGACTTGACATGTCCCATAAGCAGTACTTTGGCATCTGCCTCAGAACCCCACCAAAACTTCCATGAGGGAATAATGACTAACCTGAACTAGAAAAATGTTCTCAAGAGAGGAAAATGTTCTCAAGTTTGTTTTTAGAGAAACAACCTCAATACAAGATCTACAACACTCATGTGGTGTGAACTTGTACATGTTATTGTAATTTGCCAAATATATTTTCCATCTTAAAATTCTTATCAGAGTTGACATTTAGAGAAGACGTGTACTATGTTTCTGATGAAATCCTAGTATCTTTTCAGTGACTTAATTTGTACATTTAAGTATCACTCTTTAAAATGGAGACCAAGCTATGACCACGTCAGCAGCTCTCAAACAAAACAAAATTCTTTCAAAGTATCTCATTGCTAAAAAACTCCAGTTCATTAAAAAAAGAGCCAAGAATTTGGGGTAGTGTAACTAAATAACATGACAATTTTACATCAATTTGGTAAAAGGGAGGAACGGCCTTGCAGCTGTTGTGGTGCTGGGTATTGGACTTCATAAGAAAATATAGAAAGTGAATTTCAATAGTACAAGTTTCATAAAAAAGCAAACAATCCAATGCTAGCACTTTTCTTGGATAACAGCATGCAATAAAAACATGAAACTTCCCTCATAAAAAAAGCCAAATACAGTTTTCTTGACTGTGAGAGATTTATAATGTTAATAATGCCATTATAAGTAAATTATGAAACACTTTGCACCAGTAAAGAACCGTCACTCCTCACTGTGAAGATATTCAATTAACTTTCAGCTGAAATACGTGACCCCAGTACTCCTGGGTTTGATACGAAAGGACAACTGAAAGCAGGCAGATTTATTATACTAAAACCAAGTTGCTAACTTCAACTGTGATATAACCAGTTTTCAGAAGAGCTAAACCATATTTACAAAAATAAAAAAAGAGCTCAAGTTGAAACAGGGTTGTACATCATCCCCGAAGCCCTTCTGTCTCTGGTTTGAACAATGTACTGCAGCTTGATTTCCAGGGAACAAAAAACACAAATTAAACCAAAAATACCCACCCTGTCTGGGTTTCTGCTTAAAGCCAAGCACTCATCTATGCTAAACAATTATTGTCAAAACTGAATCTGTAAGTGTTCAGAGTTAGGATGAGCTTCTGTATTTCTGCCTGCAATTTCCAAATCAGGAAAAGGCACATGCTGTCAGTTGCATCCACACAGAAAGCCTCATGCTGGATGCTCTCACTTGACAGCTTAATCCTTTCGCATCCAGTAAATCCTTCGCTTCCCCAATGCACAAAACCTACTCTGCATATGCACTGTGTTATCACTTCTCAACACAGGAAAGTATACAAAAGTTAACCGGTAAAGTAGCATCAAGCTGCAACTCCTATCCAAACAAAGAGAAAGGGTTGTCAAAAAATTCACTTAAATAGTTTCCAGCCACAGAAAGTGGGAAAGGAAAAAAAAAAAAATGTGGAAGTATGTTTTAAAGGAAAGATGAAATGCTTCAAAATACATAGTAATGGTAAATTTCAGAGATGAACTTATATATGTCAGATTTGGAAAAAAAATCCTCTAACCCACTCATTAAAGGTTGGAAGGGCCTTGAAATACTGAAAAGTTATTTCAGTTTAAGCACCGTGAGAAGAAAGATGATATTGGGAAGCATTCATCATATACTATAAACTGAATACCAGCTATGCAACAGAATTGTCAAAGCTATATATATTGAAAGTGTAGTTTAAAAAACACCTTGGACAAAAGAAAATCATTCCAAGTCAAACACCCACAAGAAATGTGTCGGCCCTCACTATCTAGGTTTTTTTATGAAGAAGAAACATTGCTGTAGCAAAAGCAACACATCCAAAGCAGCTCCCTGAGTAAGTTCCCATTTAAGTTCCAGTTTAAAAAAAGGCAGGGTGTTAGGGAGCAGCTCTCTTTGCCACCCCACTGAAGCATGCAGCTTCCCAGATTCCCTCATCCTGTGATTGAGCAGGTGTCTCCCTGGCACACAGTTCCTTTTGTGAAAGGAAAGGTGCTGCCCAAGTTTAATACATTACTGCTGGGAACAAGTTTAGAGGAGCCACTGCCTGTGTCAGAAGGCAAATGGGACCAATCAACTTGTGAGCTGCTGAGTGACACTGTAAGTCCTGCCTCTGAAACTTTTGTTATTTTTTCCCCTCAGCCTACTTCAATTGTTTCCACAACTTGGTCACAGACTCGGACAAGTTGCCAGAGATCTACAGGCACGTCCCACAGCCCCGAGCAAGCTCCTCTTCACTAAGTCACACCAGGGGTAAGGAATCTCTCTTCTGTGTAATCTTTTAATTCTTGCAGGAAGGCATGCTGTAGCTGTACTTTTCTACAAAAAACTCTACTCAAATTAATAGCTGGTTTTAACTGTTTATCAAAAATATGGAAATATAGGCATTATAGCTCTGAGTCAAAGATATACTGCTGTGCGGAGAGTCTTTCAGTGATGGTAAAGGCAACATAATTTCCTCTATGTTCATGGGACACCTGCTGTCCTTGGGTAGATGATTTATACAGGTGGTATTGCACAAGAAGGTAAAAAGGTTTCATCATGTTTCTCACACCCTTGTCTTTCCTTTTAAATTTAATACCTTTTGCCTGTTTTTTCTTTTGTCTGTTTGGTTTTGATTTTTAATCCAAAATTTACAAAGAGAGTAATTCTCTTAAAGTTTCATAGAGGCATTATTTTTCCTAACCCAAAGCTGCCTTTACCAGCAAGGGTAAAGAAGCTCCTTCACCATGAACTCTGTAAAACCTTTTTCTGATCTAACACAGTGAGAGGAAAAAAAACTTTTTTTTTTTTTTTTTTCTGTATGATGAAAAATTTGAAAAATTACCCTTAACTTAAAAATTTAAATGATTTATAGCAATACTAGAACTGAAATTATACCATGTTACTCTAAGTGCAGTTCAAGCTACAGAATCCATGTAGTGTTTTTGCTTTGACATCCACTAAAAGTTTATTTTCTACTGTTGTTCATTGTAACTAACACACTCATCCTAGATTGCTTCTAATAACAGAGAAATAATTCAGCTAGGATTTGTAACATCATGAATTTCAAATTCAGAAAATAACCCATTTATTTCTTAGGGAAGCATAGACATGTTGTACAATGAAATACATTCCCAGCTTTAAAATCACTGAAAAAAACCACACATCTCAGAGAAACATGTCACATAGAGAACATTCAATATTTACACGTACAAATATTTTAAAAATAAGTACTATGAATACATGAATATGTATGTCTCTAAGGTACTTCTGCTCCTTACAGTCATGTTCCCCTCCTTCCATCAATTCACACCTTACTACTTTTGTCTACATATGGGTCTGGTCATAGAAGAGACAAACCTAATTTAAGCTTTTAATTTTGTGAGGTGTGTTTTCCCTGTTAGTAAACAGATACACCCAATTCCTTTTCCTATTAGTGACTGGTAGGCATCAGGCAAAGATACATCCAGGTGCTTGGTTTTGTGCTCAGCAGCCTTATGCCAGTTTCAAATATTCAAGTGAGAGAAATGTCTGGACATGCTGTTACTCCTAAGGCAAGCAATCTGTTACAGAGTTCTCTAGAAGCTGTTTTCAGTAGGCAGAAGCACTTCAGACCTCCCAGTGCCTACACAGAACAAGAAGATTTCGACACAGATTTTTTTTCAAGGCTACACATAAAATGCATTTTCAGGTGAAGAGAGGAGCTGAGGTTTATTCTACCACCCAGAGAATCTTTCTCTTCTATTGCAAATGCAGACCTTTAAAAATGCAGACTTTATGCATAGACACATAGCTTGAACATACACACAGACACTTAACTGCTGTGGGAAGCTCTTCACTGGAAGCCGGAATGCATCCCATAGCTACAACAGGTTAGCTACCCCATCATCTCAATTTTATCCTGTTAGAGTTCAATAATTTAATGCAGATGAAAGAGTGGCTCAGCTGTTAAATTAAATTTAAAAATTTCACACTTATAACATCCCATGTCACAGACATCCAGACCCTGAGAAACGACCTACAGTCATGACTGAGGCATGTGCTACAGGGCAGGTGATAAGTGTTACAAATCAATGAAATTTATGAAATCAGTGAAATTAGGCATTTAATTCACAGCAGGCAATTTTGTCTTTTTTTTTTGCTACTCATTTGTCAAGACAAGGATGCAACTGTTATTTAAGAGACATTCAGATTTATGTATTACCACATTTTTATTTTTCAAAGCTGCATTTGTTTCTCATCCTCTGGGGAAGTTAGGAATATAGTGCCTCCATCATCAACAGGAAACTGAAATCAGCTTGTATTGGTAGTGTAAAGGTGATTTGCACTGCTTTTTCAGACCATTAGCAAACAAAAATGCATGGGATTACATGTACACACCACAACATTAACTTTTTGTTTGCTTTAAGAATAATTTTATTTAGGAATAGAAAAGTACCCCATCTGGAGAAATAAAAAGTCCCACAGGGAAGTAAAGTTCTTTTCCCTAAAACTACAAGACACTTTAGAACCTAAGGTTGCTTTTGCTTTCTGGAGACTGAAAAAAGGCTTAACAGGACCTTCCTGGCATCAAGTAACTTCTCAGAAGTTGAATTTATCAATTATATCCTTATCAATCAATGCCATATCATTGTTCCTTGAGCTGCTAGAAGGTTAAAAACAAAACTTAGAACATCCCCTTCCACTTCTACCTTTCATACATGCTAGACATATCTCAATTTTTACTTTAATTCAAATTACACTTAGACCATTTCCTAATTAAAGGGACATTATGAACCACCATAGCTAAAACTCAACATGAAACAATTTGTTAGGTAATCAGTGAACACAGCAGAGAATGGAGTTCATTTCCTAAAAGAAATGTACTACATAAAAGGCAGATCACACCAACAGACTGGAATTGGTATACAGTTATTTTATGTTTTATTTTGATGAGGGGAACCCATGAGTATGGAGATTCTGCCTAAGATCCCACTGCATGGTCCTGCATCACGTTGCAGGGAATTTAACCAACTCTAAAACTAGCCCAAAGCACTGGCTCCCAGGCTACTCTAATGGACCAGCACACATATAAATCCCAGTTATCCACAAGACATGTGGATAAATTTCAAAACCCAAAATGACTGGAGCGTTCAACTCTTCATCAATGTAATTTCCTGTCACTTACACCATTCACATTCTCATGGACTTGAAATACAAATAGAGGCTCTTGCTGTTGGTCTTGTGTATTAGAACACTAAGAACATCAAAGCTACTCAGAAGGAAGATTACAGAAACAATGCATTTGTAAGGGGGAGAAAAAAATAATCTGAAATGTGAGTCTTCCCCTATGCTCTCTGAAACACACATGACACTTCAGTACAAAACAAACAAAAGGTAAAGAGAAAGGTAAAATGAGTTTGTTTTTCCTGTTATCAGCACTTCTCAAACTATGAGCTGAATTGTTGCTTCTTTCCCCATCCCAAGGAAATGTGTTCTCCATATAAATGAAAAATGACTTTATATGCCACAAGTCACTGCCTAAATCTTCAATCAACATAGCTTTATAGTACTTTTTCCATCACTATGTTTATGGTTAGTAAGACTTTTTTTTTTAATGGATAGAAGTGAAATACTGGGGTTTTGGGGCATCTCATTGTAAAAATTTATGCAATGGATTTATGCAACATAACTTGAATAGTCCTTCAGGGCTTCACTTGGTCATGCACAAATGCAAGAATTCAAGTAAGTCAAACCTCTTCTATTCCACTGATATCACTGCTGCATTTAGTGAACATATGACAGGAAACAAGCTGTGGCATTTCCAAGGGAGCCAAATTTATCCTGTATGACTTCAAGGGAGTCAATGCAGTTGCACCACGAATGAGTATGGCCCACAGTTTTCGCTTTGGTCACGTACCCTCTCTCATTGTGAAGGGCACCCAGGAACAAAGATAAAAATAACCTAACAGGGAAACAGTCACATGTCAGTGAAGTGGGAAGCAATAATTGTGATCAGTGACTCATTCTAAAGCATGGGGTACAGGGGATTCCCTACATAGTAACATACAGGGTCAGCTACCAGACCTCTTCCTGCAGATTCACTCTGTGCCTAAAACAAACCTTGCACACCCATTAACAGCACTGATAAAACAAAACTGCACAGCAACGCACCCAACTGCTCCTCTTGTGTGATGCTCAGTCTTGTCACATGAATCACACTTTGTGACTTCTAAAAAATATCAAATATAATTTGCCCTGTTGCTGCACTTTTGTTTCAAGAAGTGGTGTGTGCATGCACAATTCTTCTTCATATTGGCCTAAAACACTGGGGACTGAACAGCAGAGAGCAGTTACTATTTGTGACAATGATCAGTCTTTGTTTCTGTGTAATTATTTTCCAAGACGCCAATTCTGACCTTGATAGCCACCCATATGCAGCTGCATTACTGAATCTGTTTCTCTTTCTGCACACTTTAGGTGGGTGACAGCACCATGGAGGATTAACAAGAAAGGTATGTGTTTATTAGTTGAACTTGAGCACTTGTAAAGACAAACTTGTTGAAATACAGACACAGAATTGGCTTCCTTTGCTTACAAGAAAACTTATCCCACAGACGTAGGAGGTTAAACACATAGATGTATCACAAACTTCCAAAACCACATAAACTATTAAATCAAGAAACTCAATCTATTTTGTTCTCTCCTCATCCCTTCTCTACGATGTTTTCTAGCTGTATAAGGTATAAAGATTTTAATTTACACTACCTTCCATTTTTTAAGATCCTTGTGTATCCCCTTCTGGTCACTTATGTCCAAGTATCTATTTTGGTCTTGCATCTGTGATGCCCAACCAGATAATATTGCTGTTAATGGAAGGACCTCAGAGCCCTAGGACCTTGCCTCTTGAGTCATGCAAGCAAAACATGCAGCAACACAGCAGTGCAGGTGGCAGCATGAATGCAGTTACACCTAATGCAGTGCACATGAAATGGAATGTACATTTATTCTGTATGTAAACAGGCACACATTGATGCTGTTTCAACCCTTCTGTGGGCCCCAAGGGAAAAAAAAAAAACGCAATCAGGAAAGATAAATGTTGCTGCAGCAGGTCATACACAGCCTAAAGACCAAGAGTTGCACACATCTGACACTGAAAAAATGACATGAAATGCCATGATGAAGTCACCCGCAGGAAATGCTGTTCTCTGGGCAGTGTCTGTCGCAGAAGCTGGTAACACAAACTCCTCTCTATCCATGCAAATCCATTTGTGGTTCATCTACTGGGACTTGTCTGCAAGAAGATAAACAGTCTAATGCACTCTATCCTGTACTGGGATGGGAGAATGAATGTGCATTCATCCAAGAGACTTTAGAATTCCTGCGCATGTCTTGCTTTTACTGCACCTGGGACACACCAGGACTAGCAAAGAGCTAAGCAGAATATACTTGGCAGCATTTTAACTGCTTAAATAGATGAAAGCAGGTACAGCAAAAAGTCAAACAAAGATGAAAAATTTTAGTCACTACAAGAGTATGTTCTGGCGTATGTTTTTTTTGCAATAAAGTTAAGATCAACTACGGCTCAAAAATCATAACAGAATCTGAAGTTCGGCTTGAGAAGATGTCATCACATGGAATCCTCTAAAGGTATTAAAATAACCATGTGCAATCTGATTGCTTTTGAAAGTCTCTCTTAAATACCAACACTGCCACTGAAAACACATGCATTCTGTTCATACAGTACCATTTGACTCTATAGCCCAACATGAAGGGATTAAAAAAAGGAAGAGCCTACAAGACACTTTTGTTTCCTTTTAAGGTTTTTCCATTTTAGCCACATAAAAAGACAAATTCATGGGCAATAAAGTACCTCTGATTCAGTCAGGATCATCATGTAATTTGGGCAGCAGACATCTAGGCAATTGTTTTCCTTCATGTGGCATATATAATTTCACTTATTTCCAAGAAAAAAATAATGAAGTGGTGATAAGGAGAGGCCTTCTCTGAAATATAGGAACACAATATAAATTCATAAAATGTTTAGGGGTAAGTGCAGCTTTAGGAGCAAAATTATGACAGATGCATATATCCTCATTACTTTTAAAACCAAGTTTTCACATATTGACAGCATAGACAATGACAGGTACCTTCAGAATCCAACTCACCATGAGCTAAACAAGGATACATCAAAGCTAGATTCTTGCCATGGAAGGTTTTACGTCACAACTACTCATTTGGAGTTTTAAAAAAGCTGATACCCTGTCCTTCCATCTGACATTAAAAAGAAGGAAAATACATTTTAAATGCAACACTCACTTAAAGTTGTGTAAATGCTTTGTTTTGTTCCTCACAGCAATCCTCTGCCTTTGCACCCACATTTGTAATACACTGTCCTACATGCAGAAAAAAAGATTTAGTCCTTGCTCTGTCTTGTCTGCTGAGAACTGTGCTACTAAAATTCCCTACAGCAGTGATGCATTAGGTTTTTACTGCCCACCATAAAGAACTTTTTCTTGGAATGGAAGTACTTCAACAAGATTTATTTTCCTCCCTTCCAGAAAAAGGTACTGGTAAACCAGATTATCTGCCCTGTCACTACCAGCCAGCAGGACTATCCAGATCTCCTGGCTGAAAGATCTGTGACCCTACTCTTATCATCAAGCCTTCACATGTGTTTGAAAAAATAAAGCAGAGGGGTGTGTGTGGAAAGGCAATCAGACACAGCCTTTCCAGAGACTGTGTGAGATAGAGACCTTAGGCTCTAAAGCAATAATCTGGGAAAAACCCAGATATCCACAATTTCCATAGTACAGTTAGTCAACACTGCTAAGAAGCAGGCGCTCAGTAGCCTTCAGGAGGAGAAGCATAAACAGTAGCCTTCAGGAGGAGAAGCATAATACAGCACAAATCTAAACTTAAAACCCCAAAATCTAAAAATTCTGTTTTAACCTAGAAACACTACAAAAGCAATATGTTTATTTCAGACTTGTTAGACCTTTAAAACAATCTCTGTTTGCACTCATAAAAACACTTCTGCAATTCTAATGGTCTGCTTTCCTGCTTTCCAGCTCCGCAAAGGCTGTCTAAAACAAAGAGAAGATATTAGGCACTTTGCACTGTTCCTGACCACTGCTCTTCTTTCCTGCACTTCTAAAACGTCTCATTTGTGCCCTCTGCTTTCTTGTTGCCATGGAGAAGGTCCAACACATGACCCGCTCCGCTCTGAGGAGAGCCTCAACTATTGAGGTCAACCCACAAGCACGCCAAAGGCTCCAAGAGCTCTTTGTGAATTTCTGCCTGATTTTAATTTGCCTCTTGCTGATCTGTATCATTGTGATGCTTCTCTGAAGTTCCAGCACTTTTCTGCCCTGTCCTCTAGGAATGTCACCCCAGGAAGAAGAGAGACCTACACGTGCAACTCCCAGTGCAAGGATCCTCATGTGACAGGGGCTAGCACTTGGACTAGAGGGTGTGCCAACCAGTGCTGTTATCTTACTGCCCGCTACATGTATTAAAAACACATTTTCTGTGCAGAACAGTGTTTAGAGCCTGTAGTTACAAAGTTTTGCATGACTCAATTTGTCATCTCAATCAACAGATGTCTTTACTATGTGGGATAAATCAGTAAATCAGATTATCTGCTCTGATCAGTAACAGCCAGCAGCTGGTAAAGTCCATATTTTAGTCAGATAAACACCACCATCACTTTTTGGGGGCCTAAGTGTTTTTAGGTTTCTTGGAAAATCTTTAAGCCCTTGGACGGGTTCCAAATTTGGATCATGCCTGCCCAAGGAAGAGCTTACAGGTATACAGCCCTCAGCACATCCTGGGAAAATTTCTGCTCTGCTTAGTTCAAGGTGCTGCATCTCTGCATTATCAACTGAAGGCATTCAAATTGCTTTAGTGTTTTTCAGAGGAATATGAGAATGAACCAAAAATCTCTTCTAACTCAGAAATGAAAAACTATTTCATATGTTTTTCTCCCTATTTAAGGGATTTTATATATCTGACATCTGGAAAGATTTTTCATTATGTTTTGCAGAAAAAAATTGACACTACCATAACTGATATAAAAAATTTTGTTTTCCATAGTCATTTGACTGACATGACAACTGGCACAACTTGGATTCTCAGAGTTCTTAATATTTGCCTTTAGACAATTTAATTAAGGCTTGTTCTAATTTATGTAATAATTTTCTTAGTTTAAAACTACAGAAAATTTGGAACTTGCCAATGTCACATGAGGTGGCTTACACCTGATGTGACAGTGGGCAAAGTCTAGGTCACCATTACTGTTGTGACTGAAGTGCACCCATACAAATAACACATTTGTATGTGTATGTGATGTAACATCCCCATCTTCAGCTGCAAATTCCTGCTAAAGAACATGCAAGTAATTTCCTAAAATACATGACAGATAAAAAAATTCATTGTAAACAATTATGCATAGGAGGGGAAAGCACAGCAGAAATATCTTTTCAACATGTAAACCATAGGCTATATACATAAAAGATGACACATCTACTCCAGAAATTGTGAGTAAAAAGACTGAGTAGAAGACTTCCAAGCCTACTAACCCTATTACATGTTGCTGGTATTAAGAAAAATTCCTAGAAATTTGATACACTTCTCAAATTTAAAGAAAGCTCAAAAATCAATAGACAGAGGTCACACAGACATCCATTTCTTAAAGGGATATTCTTCTATTCCATTTTATGTAAACATTCTTACTGATGAATACAGACAATCAAAATAAGTTTATCTTAATAGTTCATGAGTAAAAGTTGACAATAAACAGCTGAGCAGGAAGGGAAGAAATATTTGAAAAAACTCTGTATTCAATGGAATGCAAGCAAATCCGGTGGTGAATTTCCTGTCTGGTGATTAGGTATGTTGAGACCAGACTCTGAAATAAGATTACCCACTAGAGGAAATGAAGATAGCTACTTGTATAAGGACTGGGGCAAGCACTGGTGAAACTGGCAACACACCCACACACTTGCAAGTTAGTACATGAGCATTACTGATTTGCACTGTCAGTGTAAATCTCAATTTCCATTTCATGCATTCTGACCACTCTCACAAACGCATGAGATTTTAGCAAGCATATTTCCCCTTTTAATCCTCCGTACTTTTCTTCTCTTTTCAAATCTGTATTTTTGTGATGGATAGAGTTTCTAGCTTTAGTTTCCTTTGGATGTGTTTTAAGAGACTTCAATGGAAATAGACAACAGTTTTACAGTACTGAACACTTGCTGAAGAAAAAAGTGTTAAGAGTAAAGCATCAGCACTACATTCTGAGGACACGTTTGGGTTATAGGTTCCACAAGCCAATAATATAAAGGAGTCAGAGCAAAGCACTGCTAAAAAATGGAGCCAAATCAAAACAACTTCCAACTTCCTCTTATGTAACTGAAAACTCGTAACTTATTTTAAAACAATAACCAAACAGGAACAAGACCAAGTTATCCATAAAAAGGAAGCCCTACTGCTATTTTACAGCAATGCAGATATATTGCATATACTGTATGGTTCATTTGTGTCTTAAGCTTCTGTTGATCAGAAAATCTGTTACTATCCTCTATATCACCAATTGTCAGCTGAACCAAGAAATTTAAAAAAAAAACTTTTGTACATAATACAATCTTCTTTGTAGACTTATATAAGCTTTAAAAATAATATCTACAGTATTTTTATTTAATAAGAGGACTGCTTGAAAAATATTAAATATATCCAATTCTGTTTAGAAAGCATCCATTCTATTACTTATTAAAATTATGTGAAAAGAGGTTAGTCATCACACAGCTAAATGTCTATTTATTCTGTTTTGGTTTTCAAGAGTAATCTTGACTATTTTGTGATGTCCAGGTCACTTACATGTACCTGATTCCCATTCAGTAGCTAGTGCTTGCAACTATTCCTAATGAATTTTCTGCAAGTGTAATCAAAAATTTCACCACTTTTATGAGCCATAACAAAAATTGCAAACATGTACAGCACATAGCTTGGATTAACTTTTCCATTCTCTGCTCCACTCCACCCAAGCCTATATTTTTTTCCTAATGCCATCTTACACATTAATAGTGAATAAAGGCACCTAAACAGGCAATAATCTGGTATTGCTCTTCCTCAAAAAAAAAAACCAAAAAACCAAGCAAAAAACAATTTCCATGACAATTTTATACTGAGAAGGAGTTGAATCAGGAACCAAAATAAGCTGGTTTTAAAGATTTTTCCTTAGACAGCTCCTCGGCAAAAAATGTTATAATAATTGATTCAATAACTGAATAATTGATATTATTCTCTATGTTGAACACAGGACACATTTATAAATTGAAACTTTTGCTCTGATGAAGACTAGTCAGTGAGGTGCTTTAGAAGGCAGATATTTGCATTTCTTTAATAAGTTTTCTACATCAATTTAGCAACAACTTCCCTTCCTGGTAGAACTGAACCACTTATTGGACAGACAAGAGTAAAACAGACTTAAACAATATTATTCACACACACCATGCTCAAAATGTTTGTCACACCCCTGCACAAAGAATTTTTATTTAAGTTTTGCTATAACTACACCAATGACCAATGGTACAACCAGGCCAGTGGTATCCTGGCATACATTAGGAAGAGCATTCCCAGCAGTTCAAGGAGATGATCCTAACCTCCCCCCCCGCCCCCACTCCACCCTAGTGAGGATGGAGCTGTAGTGCTGTTTCTTCTCTGGGCTCTTCAGTACAAGAGAAACATGGAGCTCCTGTAACAGGTCTAGCAGAGGATGACAAAGATCAGTAAGGCACTGGAGTATTTCTGTTAAGAGCAAAGGCTGAGGGAGCTGGGCCTGTTCAGTCTCAAGAAGTGACAGAGAGGGGACCTCATCAATGTCTATCGGTATCTGAAGGGGAGTGTCAAGAGGCACCATGGAGCCAGGCTGTGCTCAGTGGTGCCTAGCAACAGGACAAGAGACAATGGGCAGAAACTGATGCACAGAAAATTCCACCTGAACATGAGACAGAACTTCTTTACTGTGCAGGTGGCCATGCACTGGAACAGGTTCCCCAGAGAGGCTGTGGAGTCTCCCTCACGGGAGATGTTCAGACACCACCTGGATGCAATCTGGTGCTGTGTGCTCCAGGATGACTCTGCTTGAGCAGGAAGATGGTAGTCCCTTCCAACCTTATCCATTCTGGGATACACACAGAACAATAATCACAAAAAATGTACACACTTTATAATGTAGGCTGAAACATACTTATCTATATCCTCTCTGCCAAAATTAGAGCACAGTAATTGAACACAATAATTTAGAGAGTGTTCCCATCTATATTTGGAAGCATATCAATACACTATAGATTACAGGCCAGATATCTATGTTTGTGTGGCTACAAATGAATAGTGCCTAGCAAAACACAATTAGAATTTTTTTTGGGAAATCCTGCAATATCCAGAGATGCCTTATTTAACAACAAAGGTAATCTTTTTAGTTTTGACCTCCATGATAAAAAGTGGGGGAAAAAAAATGAAAAAACAAAACCCCAGAACATATTTATAATGATTCCTTTACAAACTGATGCTCATCTCAATAAGAATCCTGGTGATTTAAATTAACACAGGCCCATATTACTTATTACAGATATTACTGTAGTAATATCTGATTGACTGCTTTATAAGTTTGGGTTTTTTTTAAGCTAAAATAATGCCAAAAGTTACGCCTTTGTATAAAATACAAAGCTATAAAACACTGCCCTCTTGTGATCTTCCCTAAAAATGTAGCTGATAATTAAAAGGAACTTTTGGCAACTGTTGGCAGTGTTAGGGCTGTGTGGGTTTATATGTTCCTTTCATTTCTATATTTCTATAAATAAAACCTGATTGTTAAGTTATTAATGCTATCTTAAAATAAGTAATTGCATATGTGTTATTAAAAGCACTACAGAAACATCCTCTGCCAGCTCAATCCAGATTCTTCATAAGGCATTTCCAAGACTGTAATGGACCTTACACAGCACAGTGCTGGCAAAACACGACTGCACTACACAATGCCAAATCCTAGAAGGGTAGGAAATACTTCTGTTAACAGACAGACATTTTGCCCAGATAAGAAAGCAGGGGGTGGAGGGGTGGATCACCTACAGAGGTATTTTAGAAGTAAATTTTCAACTGTCTGTCACTGAAAGAGACCAAGTCTTGAGAACATTCATTCTTCTGAAAATTCAATGGGCCTGGAAAGTACCATACACATTGAAGAAGCCAATGAAGTGCCTAACTGTATAAGAAAATTCAAGCCCTTCATCCAATTATTAGCTCTTCAGAAATTCTTCAGTACTGGAATGAAATTTATCATTAACCTTGATTTTATTTCACTTTATTTTTAAGGTATTTGAGAAAAAAGGCTTGTAGGAGCATCTGGAATACTTTTCCAGGAAAAGAACGAACAACTAGCTACTGTAAGCATACATTTTCTTCTTAAGTGGCAGAAACTAAAAACCAGGGAAAGAACTGTGGACACAATTAAATTCATGTGAACCTACATGGCTTAGTACTGAAGAA